GACATTAAATTAAAGTAAATTAACTGTTATTTTTAATAAGATAATTGACTTGAATTATCTTAAAGGAATCAGTAAAATTAACTGGTATTGGATGATATTGAGTTAAATTAGCTTAATTAATTACTTAAGTAATGCCAATTAATCAATTAAGTTAGAAGAACCAATTAAATTACATTAAGGGGAGTTGAATTGCATCAAATAAAATTATAGTGGATTTAATTATTTTTTTAAATCTACTGTCGAAAGTGCTAAGACTTTAGAAATATTCTCACACCATTTTTCTTCGCCTGAAAATGCAAGGCCGTGCGCTCTTTCACTAACGTTTTTTGTATAAATTGCCATTCAGCTCCCTTTCAAGTGCAGGCAGTAAGAAGTCTTCCCGGAGCTTGTGACTCGCCGTGGCGTGCCCCGCTCCATGTTCTCCGTTCTGGATACACGAGACCGTTGCAACGCATTCTGAATCCCGGCCTTGGACAGCCAACCGGTGCGACCCGTTGTCTTAGGGCCCGACACAGCGTCCGTTTCTGCGCTCTCCTCCACTTGAGCCTCCTGATCGGCATCTTCTGTCGCCTCTTTGTTCACCTCCAATCGGAACTATCCTCCAGCCGGCCGACTCTTGCAGCCCCGCCAACCGCAGCCAGCCACAGAGGCTGCCAGGCCTCGACTACACGACTCCTCTCCACGTCGTCCCGGCACGAGGCAACAGTCGAGTCCGCCGTCCACGTTTCTCCACTGTTTGCTCGTGGCTGTTTAGCAAACGGGTCGGTAATCGAGTCCGACTCGACGTATGCAAGGCAGACGAGGAAGTCAACCGTCTGGCCAACCTGTCCGGCTCGGAACGATCGGATCCAAGATGGTGATTGCAGACGTACTCAAATTGAGGGTGAGAGAACGACTATTCGCGGAGAGAGCATCATGTCATTGAGGGCCCAGCCGATTGTTGACTCGGCAGAAAGTGTCTCCAATACGTCGAGTAGTCATGGCATACCGGCCGGTGGCAGTCGGACCAACTATCAGTCACTACAGCAAAGAGAAACATCCGCTAGCAGAAATCGATGCAACCACGGAGACTTCAAGAAGCCAGAAATCAAGACGGGCAATCTATTTAGTCCATTCTTCAGTCTACTTCCGGCCGTCGAGGCTCCAGATCCTGATGCAATCTGCCCCCGTAAGCTTCACTTACTAAACAGCATAACGTTTTATGAACGCCGCACTGAATGAGAGGATTATGGTATTTTAGTCTCTTAGTTTCGAGGTGAGCCAAACTTTAGAATAGTTGTTGTTTGACCTTGTTTTCGCAACTCGGTCATATTGGTAGGAAGACTTAAAGAAACGCACCTAGTCCGG